AACACACACATCATAGAGTAATGTAAGTTGAATTAGTACACATTACATTAGTCAACACACATCATAGAGTAATGTAAGTTGAATTAGTACACATTACATTAGTCAACACACATCATAGAGTAATGTAAGTTGAATTAGTACACATTACTTTAGTCAACACACACATCATAAAGTAACTTAAGTTGAATTAGTACACATTACATTAGTCAACACACACATCATCAAGTAACTTAAGTTGAATTAGTACACATTACATTAGTCAATACACACATCATAAAGTAACTTAAGTTGAATTAGTACACATTACATTAGTCAACACACACATCATAGAGTAACTTAAGTTGAATTAGTACACATTACATTAGTCAACACACACATCATCAAGTAACTTAAGTTGAATTAGTACACATTACATTAGTCAACACACACATCATCAAGTAACTTAAGTTGAATTAGTACACATTACATTAGTCAATACACACATCATAAAGTAATGTAAGTTGAATTAGTACACATTACATTAGTCAACACACACATCATAAAGTAACTTAAGTTGAATTAGTACACATTACTTTAGTCAACACACACATCATAAAGTAACTTAAGTTGAATTAGTACACATTACTTTAGTCAACACACACATCATAAAGTAATGTAAGTTGAATTAGTACACATTACATTAGTCAACACACACATCATAAAGTAACTTAAGTTGAATTAGTACACATTACATTAGTCAACACACACATCATAGAGTAACTTAAGTTGAATTAGTACACATTACATTAGTCAGCATACACATCATAGAGTTACTGAAGGTGAATTAATACACATTAGGTTAGTCAATACACACATCATAAGAGAAAGCAATACTTGTTTTCAATATCATTCATATATTATTTTATTCTCAGAGCTCGAGATTCTAATGTAAAATAATTAATTCACTTGCAGATTTTAATTTGGAAGGATAAACATTACAATTTAAGAAAATGTACTCTTTACATATCCAGTTTTATGAAAAACTTTTCTTACAAATTTACTATTTGATTTATTCTTAGGCTATCACATGATTACCAAACCTGTCTTTAATTATCTAAGTTAGTTGTATTTATAACTGATAGAATATAGAAAATAAAAAACAAAAAATATATAAATCAAATCAAACATGAACTATAGTACAATTGCGTCTGTGGCATAACTCATCTAGGAATTATAAAAATGTATTGTATTTTAACAAAGTTATTGACAAACAGCTTTTCAGAAGTAAAATATTCATAATAGAAGACAATAATATAAGCTGAATAACATGTATTAAAACAGTTTTACAAAGAAAATTTGTTACGTTTAAAACACTCAAACTTTGTAATAGAAACCTTAAAACTGATTTCTCTGACAGAATTTCATTGTAAAACTTCCACCACAATACAAAATTTTGCTAATAACCAAGAACATTAAATGTAGTGTTGTTAGATATCACTAAAAATAAGGTTGTAAAATAACCAAATCGTTCTATAGGATTTCATCATATTTTCAACATGTAAACATTACAAGCATGATTCCACATAGTTTCCAGGAAAAAGACCTGTAATTCCATCACAAATTCCTTCATACCACCCATCATCATTTTTTTTCATGACATAAATCACAGCATTCTCTGCAAATGTCAATTCATCTTCTTTGTCAGCCACATAATCATAGATGGCAATCACTATAAGTATAGAGAAAGGATCAATACCTAATAATAGATGAAAATTACTGGAATTATGGTGAAAGGATCAATGTATATTGATGGCAATCACTGGAAGAATAGAGAAAGGATCAATACATATTGATGGCAATTACTAGAAGTATAGAGAAAGGATCAATACATTACAATAGATGACAATTACTGGAAGTATAGAGAAAGGATCAATACCTAATAATAGATGAAAATTACTGGAATTATGGTGAAAGGATCAATACATTACAATAGATGAAAATTACTGGAATTATGGTGAAAGGATCAATACATTACAATAGATGAAAATTACTGGAAGTATAGAGAAAGGATCAATACATTACAATAGATGACAATTACTGGAAGTATAGAGAAAGGATCAATACCTAATAATAGATGAAAATTACTGGAATTATGGTGAAAGGATCAATACATTACAATAGATGGCAATTGCTGGAAGTATAGAGAAAGGATCAATATATATATTGATGGCAATCACTGGAAGAATAGAGAAAGGATCAATACATATTGATGGCAAATACTAGAAGTATGGAGAAAGAATCAATACATTGATGGCAATTACTAGAAGTATAGAGAAAGGATCAATACATATTGATGGCAATTACTGGAAGTATAGAGAAAGGATCAATACATATTCATGGCAATTACTAGAAATACAGAGAAAGAATCAATACATATTGATGGCAATTACTGGAAGTATAGAGAAAGGATCAATACATATTCATGGCAATCCCTGGATGCAGAGAGAAAGGATCAATACATTAATGGCAATTACTAGAAGTAGAGAGAAAGGATCAATACATATTCATGGCAATCCCTGGATGTAGAGAGAAAGGATCAATACATTGATGGCAATTACTGGATGTATAGGGAAAGGATCAATACATATTAATGGTAATTACTAGAAGTATAGAGAAAGGATCAATCCCTAATAATAGATGACAATCACTGGTAGTTTATAGATAGGACCAATACCTAACAATAAATGACAATCACTGGTAGTTTATTGATAGGACCAATACCTAACAATAAATGAAAATCACTGGTAGTTTATAGATAGGACCAATACCTAACAACAGACGACAATCACTGGTAGTTTATAGATAGGATCAATACTTAACAATAAATGACAATCACTGGTAGTTTATAGATAGGATCAATAGCTAACAACAGACGACAATCACTGGTAGTTTATAGATAGGACCAATACCTAACAATAAATGACAATCACTGGCAGTTTATAGATAGGATCAATACCTAACAACAGACGACAATCACTGGTAGTTTATAGATAGGATCAATACGTAACAATAAATGACAATCACTGGTAGTTTAGAGAAAGGATCAATCCCTAATAATAGATGACAATCACTGGTAATTTATAGATTGGACCAATACCTAACAATAAATGACAATCACTGGTAGTTTATAGATAGGATCAATACCTAACAACAGACGACAATCACTGGTAGTTTATAGATAGGACCAATACCTAACAATAAATGACAATCACTGGTAGTTTATAGATTGGACCAATACCTAAAAATAAATGACAATCACTGGTAGTTTATAGATAGGATCAATACGTAACAATAAATGACAATCACTGGTAGTTTATAGAAAGGATCACTACCTAACAATAAATGACAATCACTGGTAGTTTATAGATAGGACCAATACCTAACAATAAATGACCATCACTGGTAGTTTATAGATAGGATCAATACTTAACAATAAATGACAATCACTGGTAGTTTATAGATAGGACCAATACCTAACAATAAATGACCATCACTGGTAGTTTATAGATAGGACCAATACCTAACAATAAATGACAATCACTGGTAGTTTATAGAAGGGACCAATACCTAACAATAAATGACAATCACTGGTAATTTATAGAAAGGATCAATACCTAACAATAAATGATAAGCACTGGTAGTTTAGAGAAAGGACCAATACCTAACAAGAGAATTATAACACATTTCTAAACTATAAATCTACCTTTTTCTAGATAATTGTTTGGTGCCCAGTCAGGCTCAGCAGAGCTGCCTCGTGTCTGTAAAAAGGCTTGAGAAGAAGGTGGCATGTTGCTTCGCGGGTGTATCCGATCATGTTCAGATGGAGGTGGTGGAGGTGGTGGTGACACTAAAAGTGTTTTATTTTCATACAAACTTATTAAGGCCATATAATTGTTTTAAAAGTGATAATATCTAGTTAACTCTTTACTGTATACAGAGGTTATCATTTATATTTTCTGATATTCTAGTAACATTCACATCTAATTTCAAGAGTATTTTAATACAACAATAATTAAGTGTACTATTGTTAAAAAGCATATTAATAACTTGGACATAAAAACAAGTAAAAGATTTTCATGTTTTACAACTGTAACAAATTTGGTTGTAATTCTATTCTGTATTAAACCAATAATTGTAGAATTTTTTGTTGTTTGTATAAATAATTACATTAGTGTTTTATCATTATGACTAGTGATTTATTATTCACATATGTAGCTATACTGACACACCCTTCTAGTGTCATTTTTATGTATTATGTCATGGTTTTATGTATTACTTATTAACACTAGAAATCTGAATAGTGTTATGTTATGTGTATTAACTATATCGCACTAGAAATCTAGATTTTTTGGAAATTGGCTGGTGACATGGTTACTAAATAAATCTCACTAGAAAGTTGATTAAAGGTATTTTGACCTATGTTTATACATTTTTTGGAAATTGATTGGTGTCATGTATAACTATACTGACCATGATTAACAAAGGTGGTTTTTTTTGGATAGTTTATGTAACTCGAGCACTTTCAAACAGTTCGCTGTTCTTCTTCTTCTGAAGAATACTGAACCATTCAAAAGTGCTTGGGTTTTGGGGTCTCGTTTCAAAACCATTACATTCATAATAAAATGTTATGAATCATCTAAGGCAAGCATAATTTGAGTGATACAGAATTAGTAAAAACACTTTGTTATACATATTATTAAAAGTAATAACGAGTGACTAATGTTGCTGAAGAAATCAACAGCTGATGATATAAACAAGCATTCACTACTAAAATGATTTCAGACAAAAATGTAGTGTTTAGATATGAAATACACAGAATCTTTAGGATTGTTGAACTATTATGAGCAATACCTAAGTAGTGCCAATATAAATATATATATATATATATAATGTAAATATATTTTTATTTGAAAATATAATTTAATTTTATATTCCCAAAATCTTTAAGAGCTAATCAAGCATTGCTGCTCAACTGATAGACCACAACTTCTTGTTTATTAGTGTCGTTTTTTGCTTGCTTGCAGTGTACTTACTATGTGTGTTGTTGTGGGCTATTAGGTCATCAAAAAATTAATGATGCTTTCTTTTGGATGAAAAAACCCAAACAACTTATATAT